GGGGGGGTTGGAGGCTGCTGTCAACACGCTGTCGCTTGAGGGTAAGAGGGACAGGAACCGTTAGCAGAGGATTAGCAGGCGCGCCAAGTTTAGCCCCACAACCTCTTGCCTTTATTTTCATGGCCAAAAAGCCAGTGGGAACTGGGGCAGCCGCACTCCACACCGAGCCCACAGCTGGACGTCATGTCCATACTCAATCATAAAACGGATGTGGCATTTTCAGCACTTCAGGATGTTACTTTGCAACATGTGTTAGGAGAAATAAGCATGGGTTTTAATGCTCTGTAGCACAATTAATAGAAGTTGATTGATTGGGTCTTTGATCACTGCCAGCAACTCAACAATTACTTGTCCAGGTGCTGTTTTCAGACTTTCAAATGTTACTTTTTGGCCTGTGTTGTGTTTTGGAACTCCCCACGCACTGGCAACTTATCTGCTCCAACTGGAGGACGACGTTGTTAGCAAGCACCTGGAGTCGTGAGGCATTTCTGCCACAAAAGCTGAACAATCTCATTCTCCAGCCAAAATAGCAGTTGAGCTGTTGTTATTCCAATATTCAGCGTGGTGATTTTGGGATCTCGCTTGTAATTGGCCCCTTTAATCTACTGCACTGTGAAAAAATGTGTGTAGGAGGAAAAAAGTTCCATTGAAGTTGCCGCAACTCCTACTAGTGACAATAGATGTCAAAGTTTAATTTACCCTGATGACACATTGTGTTATCAACGTAACTCAGAGAAGTAATGTATCACTTATTAGTCATTTCAGATAAACATCATATATTTCACTTACCAGTCCGCTGGTGCTGTAACGTGTCGCCTTGCATGACTTTTCAGTCTGTCATGTCTTTTCTTAGCTTTAAAACTTGGAACAAGATGTCTTTCTCATATGAATCATCACAAGAACCAAACAGCACTGACATTCAGGGTTCATGTCTTCCTTCGCATGCAGCCTACTGTGACTGTAGTATTTTCCTATACATCAACCATAGTGTTAGGTAACTTGATTCATGATATTAAGCTGAGAGCATGCTTCAGCGATGACAATCTTAAACCTCAAAAATGTAATTTTACTATGTATGTGTATCTCTTTTATTATTCTATTACAGCATATTAACACAACGTTAAAGAGAAATATTTTGATTTATTGTATTTTCAGTGGAAGACTTTTAGTGAAAAGGGGCAGTGCTGTTGCACAAGGTGACAAAAAAATAAAATAAACCAACGTTTGAGGAGACTCACCACTGATCGCCAAGCTACAAACAGGCACCCAATGATTTTTTCCACCGTACCAATTCTAGTTTTTAACTCCACACAAAACCATGTAATGTCATTTTTCACACTTTTTTAACACAGATTAACCAAACAGGATATATTCTGTTACTCAGTGAGCTTCAGAGGTACTATTGCTCAGATTTTTCAACTTGACAGCTGTTTCCTGCCGTTTCCATTCATTATGCTAAGCTCAGTTAATAAACTCCTGGCTTTAGCTCTACACTCAATGCACAGATAAGAGGTTGGTATTGATCCCGATCTCGGTACTTAAATTATTTCTCAAAAATTTAAAATTAAGAAAAAAACAAACAGATCCTAAGAAAGTATCTGTATTCCTGCATTCAGTCACACCCCCTCACGTTCTAAAACTGCAGACTCCACATTCATTCCGGTAAAACCAGTGCAGCATCATCTAGCAAAGGCATTGATCCAGGCATTGCCACATTAAAGCCCATTAGCAAATCTAATATGTGAGTGCGCACACTCTTCGTATACCTGTAGCAACCAATCAATGCAGACCCTTAAATTTTTTATTGCAGTGCTATTTTAAGCTTGAACGCCTGCTTATCTCATTACGACTGTACATTTAACTCTGCACATAACAGTCATCTGACCACATGTTCACATGCCAACCCCCTTGACACCCCTCGTCCACCACCATCACCAGGACCCAGCCATACGTGTTTCCAGATCCCTGTATGGCCCGGCCTGTCACAGCCGCTGTGCCATAGTGATGAAGGTGCTGATGGGGTCTGCCAAGCCCATCTACATGCCTGTCTAAAATTAGTTCTGGTAGTTTCCTGTGCCCTTTAATCCTGGGCTTTAAAACCACTGAAGGCCAAGCTGCAGACAGGAAGAACGGCCATGAGAGCCCCTGGGGCACTCGGCATGCCACGCATACCCCCGACTCTATCTGTCAATCCCAGTCCTGCCATGACATCACAGCAGCCCATTCTAAGAATAAGAGCTTCCCAGGCTTGGCTATAGTTGGATTTAGATTTGATGGACGATATCCGGGTGGCTAAAGAGACCTGTCCCCTCACCCGCAGGTTCACAGGTTTGATCCCCTGTAGCAGCCAGTAAGTCCATATTTGTTACAGTGTCCTTGAGCAAGACATTGAATTTCATCCTGCACAGAGTACACCACTCCTGGTTGAACACTTGTGCTTTTATATCTCAGATACTCAGTTGATTGCAAGCACACCGAAATATTTTTTTAATGTTTTTGAGACTACTGAATACCTTTTATCTTGGACTCAAATTTGTATTCCTTGTCACCAGATGCATTATCTGGTTCTGAGAAGAATTGCAGACCATGTATACATTAGAACATGTTATCAATATGTTCCCTGAATCTGACTCCTTCCAATAGTCAGAGAACTGGTGTAAACGTAGTGCTTACTAAATTTTAAACTGGTGTTGCTCCCTGGGCCTGGAAAGACCAAATCAGAAGTACTGAAAATGGACCCTTTAGAGGATCCCACCATAGTAATGGGTGAAGACAAAAGTCCTACCAACCTTATGTAATTTCTGTCCAGTCTTAACCTAGTATAATCAACTGAACATTATGTTTACATTTTAGCTACATAGCAAGTACCTCTAGGAATTGCAACGTTGGTCCAATTCATAGTGTAACATAAATAACCATGGGATGGATTGCTATGAATTTTGTATAGACATCCATGGTCCCCAGAGGATGACATTGGTAATTGGTAAATATGGCTGGTGGTACAGTGACGCAGTGGTTAGCGCAGTTAGAGCAACTGCAAAACTTACATTTGATTTCCAGCCTTTCAGCATGGAGTTTTTATGTTAATCCAGTGTTACCCTGAGCATCCTTCTACAATTTAGATGGATAGAATACTGGATCATATTGGTGGTAGGTAGGAATGTTTTTGCTCATTGCCTGTCAGTAAATCAGGCAGACCTCATGACCCCAAAGAGCAGGAAGAAAATAAGAATGAATGATGAAGCCAGCCACTGAGCTAAATATCAGTATAACATCTCAGACAGATTTGCCTGCAGGACTATTTGGCATGAATGGGCACAATGAATGCACTGTATACAGCACAAATCACAGATATGCTGTATTGTATCCATAAATAGGGATTTCTACCAATGCTACTACTGTCTGTCTTGTGAGTAACATGGAAAATTAAGAACTCTTAAGGTCCCTAGTCAAACTTTTCAGTGAGATAGAATGAACATTGCTCATTACTGTGTGTACTTTTCTGTTAGTGATTGTAGGAGTCATATTAGTAGGAAATGATTACCCAGTAAATAGAAAATATCACCTGAACTGGAAAGTGGGCAAAAAGGAGAGTGCTAGCACCTACTGAAACAGTGGAGTCTTTTTATAAATCATTTACGTAAGGACATGAGTGTGCAGGTTTAGCCCTTTGTTACGTAGGCAATGATTCACTTGCTTGGTTCAACTGCATGCCAGATTGTATTTCCAGTAAAAACCTATCCTGAGACCTGTATTTTATACATTTATGTCCATTAGTTGCTTATAAATTGCATATTATTGCATTTATTTTTCTTTTAGTTTTACAAGAAGTTTTTGTACAAGACGTCAGCTTCCTACCTCTCCTCTTTAGATGTATATGATGTTTTAATTTTTATTTTTTTCTGTGCTCTGATAACATTTACTGTGTACTTTTTTTTATTTAAGTGAGATAGTGTTGGCATTGTCTCACTTCTGTTTTATGAAGCCCATAGACTGAACATGAACTTTAAAGTTGTGCCTGTTGCCTACGTATTCACCGAGTTAACTCTGACAGTAGCTAATGACAGTAAAGCTGCTGTTTGTTGTTGACAAACTCATTCTTAACTTCAGTGTGCGGACTTTACTTCATGACAAGTACATACATGCTGCACACATCAAGGGGTTAGCCTACAAAAAGAGCTGCATGGGAGTCAGTCTTAACAAATCCTCCATTATAATCAGTTCATTTCCATTTGTCTGTTAACTTTGATGTAGGGAAATCTTTGCTTGTCCCTTTCCCCACACCTCAGAGAATTAATAAACTTCAGTGGCACACACGTTGCTGCTGGTGTTGATCAGCATGTGTGAGAATGTTGGTGTAGAGCAGGCGGGTCTCTGCTGAGCTGTGAAGCGAGTTGCTGCTCGCGTGAGAACTCTTTCGCCCTCTCCTGTGCTGTGAGAATCATCTTCTCCTAGGCCTCCAGGTCTTTACAGGTACATGCCACTGTGCTCGCTATCAAATATCACCACGTCTATGTACTTTCAACTCCCTTTGATGGCTACATTCAGACGCCCCGCCCTCAGGAAGTGACAGAGGGAGTTTTTGTGTGAACCCAAAGCCCTCGCCACAAGCAGCATCTGGAAAAACCAGTCGGGCTGTTTACACCGTGACTAGAATCACTTTGTACCTGTATTTTGCAGTTCGTGAATGATTGTCGCAGAGAACAGAGTGTCCACGACTCGTTGTTACACAAGCATCATGTGACAGGACATGCTCATTTCGAACTGGAAATTTAAGTGGGAGATGTGTCAAGTGCTGTAGTTAATGAATAGCTTCATGAATCATGTCGACCGTTGTCGTGACTTGGCCTGTTGGTTAACACTCAACTGTACTGCGGGTGAGGAGACACTTACATAAACGTGTTACCATGGACACAGACAAAACACCAACAAGTATGTCAATGGAAAAACAGGCATGGAAATCAGAAAGTGTAGACAAAATAGCAATTTATTAATAACTTATCTTTTCTTTACATTCGTAAGAGAGTGTGGAGGGGGCTGGCAGAGGTTACTTTCCTCTGGAAAGAGGCCTTCTCTGTAGATGGGGCAACACAACACTTTTTCTCTCATCTTGACAAATAAAAACTGCATTTCAGTTTTCCCTGAAGAGGCGAGGTGAGCAAAGCCTCCTACTTTGTCCACGTCAGAGACTTTTAACCCTTGTGCACACATCAGGATTATTTACATTAACCTTCAGAGACAACTCACGTTTGACCATTCTGACTCAAACATATGTATGCCATCTTTTATGTGGTGCCAAATCAAAAACTGCTCTGAAAAATGCTCAAGGTTTGGTTGACTCGGGGAAGCTGTAGAGTTGAGAAAATTGGTGAATATTTCTGAAGGCCAATGCGCAATAAAAACCCTCTGAGCGCAAAAGTAAGGCAAAAAACCAAGGTGACGTTGATTTGTGACAGGGTGGGTGTAAAAACAAGGCCCGTCGGCTGAATTCACACATAAAGCGATTATCAAATATATTACATGTGTACACATTTTTGCACAATTCTTAGAAAGCCTACTTGATTTTTGGCATAATCAACTTAAACATACTGATCAATATGCAATTTGTTTGCTCACATAAAAGTAGAATATGAAACAAAGAATCTTCAGTACCCACTTGTTGCAAAGGGTATATACTAGAGCAAGGCTTTTACTGTATTGTCTTTTATATTAAGATATATACACAATGTATAAATGTTTGAAAAGACTCCACAAGTGTAAAATCGAGTCCAGTATATAATGTGCCATATAAAGCTGGGGTGCTTCAACCCCACACAGGCAAGTCTTCACAGAAGACGAAGGTGACAGTGCACCTTGATGTCTTGGGGGAACCCCAAAACACACATTAAAAAAAAGGTTTCATTTTTAGATCTGTCCAGTTTGAACAATCATGTCTCTTTGGCACACCAGCCCAGGAGCTTTGAAGCATAACGTACAGCTGTCCGACAAATCACTTTAAGTTTCCTCAGACACAATGACAAAAAGAGAGAAAAGACCTCAGGAGTCCAACGGGGATATAAGATTGAAGACAGTATCTGCACTCTTTAAATGACTCTTTTCCTCTGTTCTGTCTCTGTCTCTTTTACTGTCTTTGCTCATCCAGTCAACAGCAGCTGCGTCTTGGCCAGACAGCTTTGGCCCTCCAGTAACCATGTTCAGCAGCAGTCGCCTCAAACCAGCTGTATCAATAACGTCAAGTGCCCGGTCCCACAGCAGACGACGGAAAAAAGAGAAACTTTTTGCAGATTTTCCAACAGGAAGCCAATGAAACCTCCAGCAACGAGAGGTGTGGTGACAGCGGACCTCACGTGGACTCCAGGGGGTCCAGCTGGAAGACGTTGTGGTTGGTCGGGGTGGTGAAGTAAAGCTGCTGGGTCGGTGGCGCAATGCGGTTGTCGCATGGGCTCTTCAGGCCCAGCGTGCGCTCAAAGTCAAGGAGCTGGCCCATGAAGTTGAAGTTGGGCGAGATGTTGGACTTTTTCATCTTGACGATGTCGTAGGCGTCGTTCATGGACAGGTTGAGCTTCTGCATCAAGTAGGCCACCGTTACTGTCACTGATCGGCTGATGCCGGCCAGGCAGTGGACCAGGACGCCACACTTCTGGCCTCGAGCCTCATCTGGTAGAGGAGAAAAGGAGGGAAATGTTATAGACCTATTCTAGAAATACACAATAAATTTAGAGCAACATGTGGTTAAAAAGATTTTCTTTAGGTTGCAACTGGAGCTTTTATTATTTTAGGATTGATTAATTGTTTAGTCAATGAAATGTTAGAAACATCATTGTGCTTGCTTTGTCAAACCAACAGTCCAAAACCTCAAAATATTAAGTGTACAATGATATAAAACTAAGAAAAGCAGCAATGAAGAACAATGAATGTCCGGTATCTGTGCTTCTGTTAATCAACTTGTTGACTTTTTAAACTTTTTTTTATAACATTTAAGTTATGAAACGTTTAACAGGAATCATTTGCACCTTTCAGACACGCTAGTGATGAAAATTCTTGCCCCTTTCTACACAGGCAGAACAAAACTTGTGATAAACATCTGTGACATTTAAGTCAAGCTGTGTTGGAAGTTGGAATGGGTCCAGGCAGGGAGAGCAGCGGAAGTTATTATCCCAGCTATCTCCCTGGCGTGTCAGTCAACAAACAGGGGCTGCGGCAGTAATGCACATAAACAGAGCCGACATTCTTTAGTTTTTGGCCTAGAGTAGCCGGCTGGGAAATTGACTATTACGGTCTATTAAACCATTCTTCCGCTCGCCAGGGTTACTCCGACAATGGTGCCATTTGGGCGTGTAAACGTAGGAGTCATGAGGGCACCCTGTCAAGGCGAACAGGATGTCAACAGGGCCTGTAAATGGCTCCTTTTGTAATGTGGAGGGAAGAAGGGGGAGGAAGGGGGGGGCAATGCCATGTCCTAGATTACTTTCAATGCCACTTCCTTCCTGTTGCGCTCGAATTACCGCCCTCCCCTTGTTCACTCTCCCCATTCTCCTGTTTCAACGTCGCCCTTTGTGCTGCAATTACACAAGCCCCGGGACAAGAGATAGGCCAGGATGTCTTCCATTGAAGTCAAATCCTTTGTACACAGTGCATTTTAGCCTGTGCACCATTAGAGGCAGACTTGTATTCCTCTGCCATGACACAATGGCCTTAATCTGCCCGCTCTGTGTGTCCCTACCTGATTGACTGATAAGATCACAACCAGGGACACCTCATCTAATCTCAATTGCACAATAAGAACATAAGAACTTCCTGGCAGTAATAAGACATATCACATTAATAAGATTATGTGCCCAAATATCTGGTTCTGCCCCTTCACTCTGTCTGCATGAGTTCAAAACAGTCACATAAGGTCGTCAAGTTAGGAATTAAGTGAGAAGTGGTGAAAAGATTAGCTGAGTGATCAACTGACAAGCTGTTTCCTGTTGCTCAATGTGAGGAGTTGCTGCTTTTCTTCTTTTTGTGGCATTGAAACTCAGATTTGAGTTTTGTACTGTTGGTCTGAGAAATCAGGAAATATGTAGAGTCACCTTTGGGCAATTTTCTAGCATTTTATGCTTAAATGGCTCAATGCAAGTAAATCAATGATAAAAACAATCATTATTTGCAGCCCTAAAAGCGAATGAGCATGTAAACAGCCCAGAGGCATTAGGTTAATCGTTTGCAGCAGAGAGTGTTTTCAGCTCTGCAGGATTACTTACCAATGAAGCTGATGGCCTCGGGGAAGAACTGTGAGAGATTCTGGCTCCAGTGATCCGAGATGGGGATCTGCTTGTACTTAAACTCCCCTGCGTTCTCGAAGAGGTTGGGCAGGTTGGGAGTCACGTTGAGGATGTACTTGATGCCGTACTCCTCCAGCACGTCCAGGTTGGTGGAGTCCTTGGCGCAGCCCAGGTAGAGATGCGGCAGGATCTCCACCGGGAAGGAGGGCTGCGGGTTGGACAGCGGGCTGCCGTCAGAGTCTGTGGCGCTGCTCGGGTCCCGGTCGATGTCCGACTCAATGTCCGAGGAGTCGGAGCTGATGCGCAGCCCGCCGAGGCCCAGCACCTGGGCCGTGGGGGAGCTGCTGTTGGAGGAGCCGTCCAGGTTGGTTTCGCACAGGGCTGGATACTCGGCCTGGAATTTACTGAAGCCACCTGGGAAATGTAACAAAGATCCAATGAGTACAAAGCCCCTATATGAGCGCATGCAGCACTGCAAAATAAATAAATGAGCCTTAACTTGTGGATCCGATTTATTTAGCTGCTTGTTATTGGTCATTTATAAATGCCTGCACATACAGCCAGCTTGATTAAAGTTTCACACCATGGTGGTTTCCACAGGAACAAAATAAATAGCCTACCCATTCAAAGGAATTCTGAATGATAGCTTCAAGTTATTGAAGGTACAACTCAAATCACTATGAATACGATTTCACATGAAATGCCAGCTAAAGCGCCTCCTTCCGTCTCTGCGCAATAATCTGCGGGTGTGAATGAACACCAGCGGCCGCGGGGCCCTAAAAATGTGAATGAACCGCACTCACCCTCCAGATAATAGGCCTTGTAGCCTTCGTCCTTCATCCTCCTCAGCAATAAGCCCAGCACGGAGCCCCCGTCCACATTCTCGTTCCACTCCCGGCTGTACTCGTCGTACAGGACGATGGTGTCCGTCTTGCATCGCCGCACGAACTTCTCCCGGTCCTCCCCGTCGGAGAGCAGCGACCGCACGGGCAGGTTGCCCTTCTTGAGCCGGCGGAGCATGAGGCTCGGTATGGCCACGTTGATGGCCGTCTCGACGTGCGACGACTCGTAGAGCTCCTGGGCCCGGCAGTCCATCACAAGCAGGCCGTCCCTGCGCGTCTCCAGCTGCTCCCGGAGCCAGTCTACCGTCTTGCTGATCGCCATTACCGAGTCAAGCTGGACGACGGGCTTGAGCTTGTCAAGCATTTATAAGCAGGAGTCAAAAAAATGATCTGAGAGAAGCGAGGTTTGGAGAGTTGGAGACCTCCTGGCTGCAGCGACCAAAAAATCTGTAGGATTATTGGTATTATTATTTTTTTTAGTCCGATGTTTGGAGGGCCCTCAGCAACACGGGCGACCGAGGTGTAATAAAAAAAAAGTCAAAATCAGACCAATAAATTCTCCCTCCGGCTGTCCTTCAGCTTCCTGTGCGCTCTGGGAAGAGTCGGCTCAATAGAAACGCTTCTCCTTCACAGATCTCCCGACTGCGGGTTTCCTACACTGGCAGTCATTCATGCATCTGGCTGGAGCGCCGTGTTATTTATCAATGAGTCACAACGGCCCTGCGACGCTACTGAAGCTTCCTCTCTTCTTATATAACTCCACGGCTGCGAGCGCAACTACTCTTCCTCCCCTATCTTCCTTTTTCTGAGATCCAGAGTGGAGAAGGTTGGGGTAGTGGGTATCTGTGGATGCGAACCACGCAGTTTACGCACGTCTGTCTGAGCCCGCGGATGCCGCCTGTTTCCCCCCTCTGTGTCTGCGGAGTGAATAGACTCTGTGCTGGCTCTGGCTCTGTGTGCTCTCTGCGGCGCCAGGCTGCTCAATGGCTACAAACGGGAGGCGTTTCATTGGATACATTATGTCGGCCGACCAATCAGAGAGGCCCCAGCGGCGGTCGCCTTGGAAACGGGGGCCGGATGGAGCGGCCCGTGTTGATGAATTGTTAATGAGTTTGTCATTCACAAAAACGGAGAGGAATTTCCGCTCCGGATCAAGTGAGTGCAGACAAACAGAGGAGCTGCAGGGAGAAGGAAGGAAGAGAGGGAGGGAGGGAAGGAGGGAGGGAGAGTGGCCGTGGAGAGGGAGGGAGAGAGGGGGGGCAGTAAGAGAGCTATACTGGACTAGATACAGTCATATAATAAAGTGTCTAACTTTAATAAAGTGACAGCGAGGAGAAAGGAAGAAGCTTGGTAGGCTACAATATGTGAAAACACCTGATAATAAATATAAATATTTATATTTTGAAATATTTAATAATATAATAATATATATTTTTTTTTTTATCAAAATGTAATGTAACACGGATTTTGACATATGAAAGTCAAAACCGAACCAACTGGTGCCAGATCAGTGCCAGAGACAACTATCTCTGGATAAGACTCTCAGTAAGGCTTCAAGTTTGTCTTCTTGTCATTTGTTCCAATAATAATAACAATAATAATAATAATAATAATGTTTATCACATATCTCCCTACACAGACCTGCTCTATCAGACGCTCTTCCACTCCAGCAATCTGCACATACAAACCAAACCAATGCTCATTTTGTAAACACAAGACCAAAGCTGAAACAGAAATGACCTAAACCTTTTTTTTATTTCTTTACACAATGAATCCACCAGCCTCTCTGGGAATATTATGGTTAAATAGCAAACAGCATGAGTGCATCAAGGCGCTAATGAAATCTCGTTTCATGCCCCTGTGCAGTGCAGACTTTCAAGTGTTTGTGTGCGCCGTTTTAATCGAAAGCATCTGAAATAAACGCAGCTGAATAATGTGACATTGTGAGCACACAACAGCGCTGGAGCTATTTCTGTCCGTGCAGCCTTCACCGGACTGAAGAGGGTCGTTTGTGTGGGTGGTGGTATATCAATGTGTCACCCTCTCTTTCTCTCTCTGGCTCTACTAACTAGACAATCCAGAATCACTTGGAGTTTTCCTTTAAGGCTGCTGTACTGTGGAAACAATTTCACTCTAACATTCGCAGCACAGGTTTCTGTGGCTATCTACCTTTAGTGAAATAGATTATTAATCTTCCCATTAGATCTCCAGAGTTCTATTTTAGTAAGGACACATGCATAAACAGAGCAGGACAAGTTTGACAGTGTGTGTGTTCACTACAGTGTCGGAAGCGTTGGGATCATTTCTCATCAATCATCCGGATCTCCGGCATCTCCACGTCCTTCACGCTCTTTTAACGCTGACAGACACGGAGCTTCGGTCCATATAGAGTCATCAGGGCCGCTGATTGCTTCCCATCGGCCCGTTAATGGCCTCCACACCCAAACTGAGTGCATTTGCACGGTAAACAAAAGGAGCATTACAACCAGTTGTGTGTTTTTTATCGCCGTCCGCGCCTCGCAGCCGACTGTAAACGCACACAAAGGCTTTTAATTGATGATCAGTTGATTTAATATTACTTGTCCAGACTCAGGAGCTCTAACTATCCTCAGACTGTAGGGCAGCTCCAATCAGTATCAGTCTGTATTCTCATGCAGAGGGTTGAGCTATAGCCTGCATGTATTTATATATATATAGTAAAAACTGTGATAATAATAATAATAATAATAATTAAATACAGGAATAGCCTACTAGTGACTCAACTGTGTAATTTAGTAATACTGAATATCTACCTTTAGTATAATATCCCAACAAACTTTGAAATGCATATTGGATTAAGAATACATTAAGAAAGTTAATTAAGGTGCTGCACCATACTGTATATCCATTCTGTCTACTTTCTGAAGGAGTATGTGGTAGAGTCTAGAGTACACAGTAGTAAACAGTGAAACGTGTGTCCTTCACTCACAGTGAAGTGAAATTCCATACTGTCTTCCTGTAAACAATATTCCATGCACTGGGATTTCTTTCAAAACCTCTTGTGATTGTTTCCAAATATAGATGTGTTTTGACAGCATCCTTATGCTGCGTCCTTTCTGTCTCACACCTCGGACACCAACGGTTCTGTAACAAGATAGCATCAGCGTGCCAGAGGACTTTATCAATCAACTGACAACATCCTCTGGAATATATTGTCCAAATGCATCATTATCAGTCGCTGGAATGATACTGAATGAGCCCTTATGCTGTTTTGAGATAGTTAATTTACACTGCACATCAGTGGATGATGGTTCTAAGCTAATGCGACTAAAAATGAAGGTGTTTTTGCTGTGGTGAATGAAACAGCATTTAGATAAAGCATTTTTCCAATCTTTTATTTTGAAAGTAAATCTAAATACATCTACAGAATAACTGCAGTTGTCTGGTAAATGTAGTGGAATGAAAAGGACAATATTTTCCTCCTGTGTAGGATTTAGTGGCATCTAGCGGTGAAGTTGTAGATTACAATAAACTGAACACTGCTCGCGCCTGTATTTGAAGAACTAAAAATGAGAATGGGCTGTAAAGTGTGTAGGAGGAACTATGGTGGTAAAAAAAAAAACATGGAAGGCCCTTTCTAGAGCCAGTGTTTTGTTTGTACCTTCTGGGCTACTGTAGAAAAATGGCAGCTCAACATGACAGACTTCGTAGATTAGTAGATATAAAAGGCTTGTTTTAAGGTAACAAAAACACAACATTTCATATTTTCAGGTGATTACAACTTTGTTGAACAGTAGTTGTGTTTTTATGAATCTGTAATCAGGAAGGAACTCCTCTCATAATGGTGCTGTCACCATATAGTGGTGTGTTTCATGGAGAAAAACAACAAACCTGCATGTCTGTGTCTGTGTGTGTGTGTTTTATATTATAAAGTGTGTGGTGTCCCCGGCGTTAACATTGGCCCTTTGGCCCCTGCTGCAACCCCTCTTCCCTGGCCTCCCCCGAGTGTGACAGAAGTCCCTGTGAATGGAGCCAAGCTGTGTCTATTCACCTTCAAATGAATTCTGCTCTCTTTCACAAGCAAACGCCCCCCTCCCTCACCACCTCCTCCTCCCTGCTGCTTGCCCTATTCTTCTGCTTCTGTCTCGTTTTTTGCCCTTGGCCCTCTCTTTCCTTTTCTCTCTCCCCCTTTCTGTTTCATTTTGCCCTATCTCTTTGTCCCTTTCATGAAAGCGGCGATTCGTCTCTGTACATGTACCACATTAAATATAGCAGGAACCACTTATTTGTGACTAAATGTATGGAAATGCTGCATGTCACTACATTGCTGCAACATTTTCAGACTTGCTCCGATCTGCCTGATAAAGGTGTCAGTGTCGTAATGTGTCCACATGAATCTGAAAACACTGTTCACACGTTAGAACGACTTGCATCCTCTCTGGCATTTTCAGGGCAAGTTCTCATCCACACTGAAATGCCAAAACAATAGAAATAGTTGTCCATGTCTATTTGTTTTCAAACAACAACCTTGAGCATCACAGACAACATTATTTATCACTGATGTTTGGTTATATATTATAATTGAGAGATTTGAAAGTGACTCATTAATGCTACTGATTAACAAATGAAAACAGTTCCTTAGACGCACTGGGACAGGCATGCTGTGAACCAATCTGGCCAAATATGTAGGCTACATGGATACAGAGGATTTGCAACACCCATGTGACTGGCTTTATTGGCCAAAGTGAGTATAGGGAGTTGGGGGCGACAGAAATACTTTGTTGATTTTCAGATTTTTCCACTCTGAAGAGTGTGTTCAGAAAGCACGCTTCAGAGGCCAAAATGAAAAGAAAAAGATGCATTTTCAAGTTTACCTGGCCTAGTGTGGACATAAGCACCAAAAAGGGCCACTGCACCATTTGAATGTTCAACTGTCTGCAACTTGACAAATCTCAGGCCATGTTCTAGACAAGGTCATAAGAAAAACCTTCTGTTCATATCGAAACTTTTCCACCAACACAAATCAAATCAACCTTTAAGCCTGCATCTACTCATTAGATCAAAGGTCATACATTGAACCGGAAGTCAATAAATTCAGTTAATCAGTTAAATAGCTATTTTATAAAACTGCAGTCATCTGCCGACAGAAATTGAGAAAGCGGACAATGGTAACTCCTAACTGTGTTAGTTATGACACAGATCATTATGGGGCGGGTCAGGGGTGACATTTTCGGCATTTTGGGGAAACAAATAAGTGTGACTGGAAGGTTTCAGACACCACTGATTTTCACTTACTTTGCTGACAACTTCATTTAGCTGCTGGGAAGTCCAAGCAGGTCACCAAATCATTTGTTCATTTCTCTGGTCAGATCATCTGTTGACATGTTTACTGTCTCCTTGTTTGCTCCTGCTTTCTTTTTGTTCTACATCTGGAAATCCCCTAACCCCTTCTTCCTCTCTTTGTTCCTCTCCATTAATTTCCTACAATCATACAGGCATGCTGGAATCCATGTCCAATTTGTTGTACTGCTGGTCTTTATTTTTCTTTTTTTTCTGTAATGTTTTTCTCCTAAAACAATAAAAATTTCTCACACCTGAATATGTGACTGACAGGTGCGTCAGGTGGGGTGTTGTTCTCCTGTAATGCCTCAGTTTCTTTAAAGTTTCACCTTCATTTAAAATGTTTTTTTTATGCCGTCTCGTCCTTCTCTCCTCACATTTACATTACATCGGGTCTCATTTCCATATTGACTGACTTAATGATTGACTAAATGATTGAAGATGAGTGATGACCAAAAGCACAGAGTTTAAAGGTCAGACCCACTTCTCCATTACCTTTGGTTTAAGTCTGCTTAATAGACTCCAGTCTGTAGCTAAACATTGAAGTTTTAGTTTAATTTCTAGTGGGCTCTGTCTACTCTTCTTTAAACCACAGAGGTAGTCAGAAAACAGGTTCAAAGGTCTATAACATTATATTAAATTATACATATGCCCAACTTGTGTTCAAACTCAAATCAG